GGAGCAAGGACGCTACTAGAGGCTCCTGGCCTTACTACTAGGAACAAAGAAGTGATTAAGTATGACCGTTTACACATTGTGTTCTTTGGACCTTTAGACCTTGTGTATTTTTTTTCTTTGCCTTCACGCCTTTTCGTTCTTTTCCGAATCCTTGTTGTTTGTCTTGTTTGCCGTTTTTTCCTTTCCGTTGGACCTTTCTTTCCTTTTCCAAGAATGTTCTGGCAGAACACCCGGCACTTCGAGGATTTTCCAGGAAGAGTGTGTGGCCGATGGCTACAAGATGCCGGCAGGTTGCATCAAGGTGGCACTGGAGAATGGCAGCGTGAAGTACGTTCCTTGACTTTAACAAGAGCGAGGAGCTTCAGGAAAGGACGGAAAGAAGAAAGAAAAGAAGGAAGAGTCTTGAAGAAGCTGCTAGGAACAAGGGCATTACTACTAGGAGCAAGGACGCTACTAGTAGCTCCTGGCCTTACTACTAGGAACAAGAAGCTGCTAGAAGCAAGAAAAGAAGGAGGAGTCCTGAAGAGTCCCGAAGGTCCAAAGACCGGGGGGAGTAGGCCGTAGAGGTAGTGGCTAGAGGTAGCTAGTAGAAGAGGTAGCTTGAGTAGCCACTACCCAGGACGCAGGATAGCTCACGCTCTTTAAGGAAGCGCTCGCACTATTCATTTGGTTCTTCGATTTTTAGGGAACTTAAGTTCCCCCCAAAAAGGGAAGAAACAACATAAGGAATATGTGGCAACTGGCCACTGCTGAATGGCCTTCAATGGCCGTAGATCTTGGGCACCAAAGTTTTTTGTTTACAGGTGAAACAATTCCCAGTGAAACGATTCCCAAGGAAACTTCTAGTTACTAGAAAGCTTTAGTAAGAAGCTTCAAAGACATAGTAGAAAGATTGATTGTTACTACCTGTGGTTGTTACAACAAACATCAGACACCACTCCAAAGCCTTTTCTACAAATAGCCAGTGATAGCATTGAAAACTCTTTGATTTGGGCAAGCTGTCGCATTGCAGATATTTGATATCCCTCGCCCTCAGGCGGGAGGAGCTTGAAGGAACCCGACCTTTCTGCGTCCCAGTATTACTACTACTACTACTACTACTACTACTACTACTACTAGTACTACTAGTAGTAGTAGTAGTAGTAGTAGTAGTAGTACGCCTGCTACTACTAGTACTTGTTTGCTTGCTACACAGGAGCACAAGACAATCTAGTTTGAAGATCTATATTTCCAAATGAATAGTGCGAAGGCTATCCTGCATCCTACCTAGAAGCTTCAGTAGCTAGGAGCGTGACCCCTTACTTAGTTAGGTAGGTTCCTCGTTTAATTATATAAGTAGGAGCGGGATAAGAAATGCGCGTTCCAAGGATGCTACTAGGGGCTCCTGGCATCGCTACTAGGAGCAAGGACGCTACTAGGAGCTTTTTCCAAGCGGATTCAGGTGCGTTCTCTCGCCGAGGTGATGCCCAACGAAGCGGCCAATGTGCTGCGACCGCGTAGGGACACCCAGGAAGATAGACAGGTCTGAGAGTTCTCGTTTTTTCTTTGTGTTTTTTCTCATTGATTTGTTCTCGCTTGTTCTTTAAACCTTTTTGTTAAGAAACATGTTTGTGGAATCGAACAAAGAACTGGGTTCCGTGGGCAAAACCGCTTGGGGACGTGACCCGACGCAAGGTGAAGCCGGTGAGGTCGACCAAGTGCTGAAGCCAGAGCGGTTGCCTCGCCCTTGGCAAACTCCTCCTAGTAGCGTCCTTGCTCCTAGTAGCGATGCCCTTTGCTCCTAGCAGCGTCAATTCATAAGACTTTCCTTTCCTAAAGCTTCTTGCTCCTAGTAGTAAGGCCAGGAGCCCCTAGTAGCGTCCTTGGACAGATAAGAACAAAGAACTGAAGAAGAAACCTACTAGCGATGGCCTCCAACCTAATAGCAATGGCACTCCAACCTAGAAAAAGAAGTAAGACCAGGAGTACGAAACTTAGGAAAACGACTTAGCTTATTAGCATTTTTGCTTGTAAGAAAGGTTGTTATATTCGGTGTTGAAGCAATTCTGTTGGTAGTAGCTTGACAGTACGGCCAGGAGCCCCTAGTAGCGTCCTTGCTCCTAGTACCGATGCCCTTTGCTCCTGGTAGCTTCTTGCTAGTAGCGATGCACTTGTTCCTAGTAGCTTCTTGTTACTACTAGTA